CTGGGCTACAATCCCGAGCTGAACGACTCTCTGTCCGCAGACATTCTACGCACGCCAGCAGCGGAGGCCTGCTTGGTGGAGGAGACCTTCCAGGAGGCGATGCAGCGGCGCGTGGCCGCAGCTACGGCATTCATCACGGCGGACTCGACGGAGAGGCTTCGCAGGGATTTCCTGCGGAAGCGACGTGACACACACGACTCGGTCAACGTGGGCGAGGAGTGCTACTACTGGCGCGATCGCGGGGCCAGCAGGCTCCAGAAGTCACGCTGGAGGGGGCCGGCTACCGTGGTGTTGCGCGAGGACTCTGAGAGTGGCCAGCCCAAGGTCTACTGGGTCACGCATGGCGGGGGTCTTCTACGCTGCAGCCCAGACCAGATCAGACCCATCGTGGAGCGGATCGGCGAGCCGAAGCGACCGGCAAACTTGCAGGCAGCTCAGACCGCCTTGCAAGGGTTACGACGTGGAGGTATTGTGCAGTTCTTCGACATCAGCCAGCTGCCTGGCCCCAGTGAGGAGGACCGCGCAGGCGAGCCGATGGAGGAGGACGAACCAGCCCCAGCCACTGGGATTGCGCCGACGGTGGGGCAGGCCATGACGGATCAATTCGGACAGGTATCAGCTCAGGGCTCAGAGCCTCGAGCGGAGCCTAGGCCTGCCAGCAAAGAGGAACCTGCATCGACGGACGCCAACCAGGCCATTCCAGATGACGACGATACCGATCTACTCCCACGACCAGAGCAGCAAGAAGCATCAGCAGATCAACCACCACCAGCTGAGTTACCTGATCCACAGGTGACCGACGCGAGAGCAAGGTTCAAGGAGATGCGAAGGAGTCAGGACGCTTCGGAGATGGCACCACTACGTACGTTCTCCTTCCGGCGAGACCGACAGAGAAGCGTCAGTCGGTCGGGCCCCTATGGCAAAGTGGAGATCGCAGAGGATGTGATGTTCATGAGCTTGGAGGTCCTACCCAAGGGCTGGAACTACGACGAGGGCGCCATGTCGTTCAACCTGGACCTTGAGGAGTGCTACGCGACTGGCGAGCTGAGCGAGAGGAACATGAACGCGGAGGACAAGGCCAAGTTTGCGGAGGCGAAGCGCGCGGAGGTCCAGAGCTTCTTTGACAACCAGGTCTGGGAGCAGGACAAGAAAGAGGTAGAAGACCCCAAGAAGGTTTTGCGTGCTAGGTTTCTGCTGAAGTGGTCAAGAAACGCTGACAGAAGCCACCGAGCCAAGGCGCGGCTGGTGATCCAAGGGTTTCGCGATCCAGACGCCATCGCGGGGACCCTGGCCAAGTCTTTACCGACTATGACGAGATTGAGCAGGACGTTCATCGTGCTCCTGAGTCGCGTCCATGGTTGGATCCTGTTCGCGGCGGACGTGAGCACCACATTCCCGCAGGGCAAGCGCTCGGATCGTGGCATCTCTGCACTCCTGCCATCCGAGGCCTGCAAGATGCTCGGGTACCAACCTGGAACACGGATGAAGTTGTTCAAGAGCATATACGGCCTGAGCGACGCGCCGAGACTCTGGTGGGAGGAGGCCACAGACCGCATGATCGGGTGCGGCTTCGTGGTTCACCCGCTGGACCCCTGCCTGCTCCTGAGCTACCCGCTGGACGAGACGAACGTGAAAGTGTTCGACGGCGCAATCGGCCTACATGTGGACGATATGCTAGGAGGCGGCAGCAACCAGGAGGGCCAGGCGTGCTTTTCGGCGCGCGTCCAAGGGGTCCAGAAGGTTTTCAACTTCCGGACGTGGGAGGACACCGAGACTGGCACCTTGAACGTGGCCAGTGACTCGTCCATGGACTTCTGTGGCAACCGGCTCACCAAGGCTACAAACGGAGATTATCAGATGAGCTGCGAGACCTGCGTCAAGGGACTCAAGCCGATCACGATGACCAAGAGCAGGGCCAGCGACCACAAGTTGGCCATCACGGAGGGCGAGCGACGGCAACTACGAGGACTCATGGGTAGCTTGGTGTGGCCCAGCAACCAGGCGGCACCTCACTTGCAGTGCAGCGTGAGCCTCGGACAAGGCTCGATCAACGAGAGCTCCACCGTGCAGGACTTAGTGGAGGCCAACAAGACGCTGAGGTTCGCCAAGGCCAACAGCGACGTGTGCCAGTTGTTTCCCAAGATATGCGGCGACCCCAACGAGGTGGCGTTCATTTGTATGACGGACGCGGCATGGGCAGTACGACGGGGTGGAAGCTCGCAGGGAGGCTACCTCATCCTGGCAGCGCACAGGAGTGTGCTGAGCGGCGAGACGGTCAAGTACACAGTGGTCGACTGGCGATCGTGGGAATTACCAAGGGTGAGCAGGTCCTCATTGGCGAGCGAGGCCCAAGCTGCAGCAGGAGGAGTGGACGCACTTGAGCATGTGAAGGTGCACTACAGCCTGATGCTCGACCCGACGAGGGACCCGAGGCTCAACGGCACCATGACGGTGCTGGGCAGGAGTGCATTGGTGGTGGACGCCAAGGCGCTGTACGACGCGGCCCAGAAGCCACACGTGCACAACTTCGACGACAAGCGGACGGGCATCGAGGTGCAGGTGCTCAAAGAGCGTATGACGGCAGGCGCTACGGGCTGGCACTGGGTCAGCTCGGAGCGCCAGTTCGCGGACGGCTTCACCAAGCTGTCGGCGCGACAGCTACTGGCAGACAGGCTGCGCACTGGGGCGATCAGCCTGAAGTTTGATGAGAAGTTCCAGGCAGCCAAGAAGAAAACCGGCAAGGACTGGCAGGAGGAGGCCAAGAGGTTCGCCACACCAAGACCGAAGGCAAGCACAATGACGGCGATGGCGACCATGCCATCCCTGACGACGGCAGCCAGCAGCGAGGTGGAGATCTACGACGCAAAGGCGACGGCAGTGATGGAGCTCGAGTGGACCATGGCACCGCAAGTGGTGATCAAGATTCCCTTCGGCGCGCTCATCAAAGGAATTGCGACGACCATCCTGATGATCGTGTGCCTTTTCACAGTATGCTACATGACGTACAGCAAACGGTCCGAGAATGAGACGAACACGATCCATCCAGAGCCAGAACCTGAGCATGCAGAAGGAAAGACGAACCACAAGCGTGAGCAGAAGGTGAAGATCAGCAGTATCAAGTGGAACGTTGGAGTTCAAGGGCCCGTGCACTATTCATCTGTGGGCCAGACTGACGGAGTTTACGGACGATGTGTTCACGCTACGCAGGGTTTCTCCCGAGGCTGGGAAGTTACGAAAGAGTTAGCGGAATCCCGCGCTGGCCTGAAGGGCCAAAGTGAGTGAGCCCCGGCAAAACACGTCTTGCATCCTGCTCCTGTCTCGTAGTTTCCTTCCCTCCCCCCTCGCAATGAAGCTATCTGTTTTGAGAGGTTGATTGCGACGATCGACCGGCGCATTTCTCTCGGGCATGTGTTTAACAGCAGGCAATGTAACGACAAGCAGCTGCGAATGATCTTTCCTTCATGAGATAAAGGTGAGTGTTTAATCAGTTGTCGTGCCCTTTTTCACCAGTGTGTGTACTCCATACAATGCAGTTGCGAGTGTATTGCAGAGGTTTTCTGACATAAGATGTTAGATGCTACCCTCCCCCAGCAGGCATGGCAGAGCATGTGTACAGCGCGCAGTGCAGAGCAGCAGTCATGACAGCAAGCACCATTGCCATCTTTAGTTCGAGAGGCCTCTCGGCAGACCAAAAGGTTACCATCACCCTTCCCCGCCCGCAGAGCGAGATCGGGGACGGTGTCGAGGACGTTTCAGCCGAGGACGGGAAACGAATTTCGAGTGGAGTTTGACGACTTCGGGAGCGTCGAGCAGTTGACACCTCCTCCTCCTCCTCCTCCTCCTCCTCCTCCTCCTCCTCCTCCTCCTCCTCCTCCTCCTCCTCCCCTCCTCCTCCTCCTCCTCCTCCTCCTCCTCCTCCTCCTCCTCCTCCTCCTCCTCCTCCTCCTGCGATTGGCAAAACGGTGGTGGAAAAGTGGCCCCTCGTTTGTGCGCGCACGCGCTGAGCTCTGAGGAGGAAGCTGCACCGCTCCCGCTGCCCTTCGCCCGTTTCCCCCTTTTCTTCGGGTTCCGCGGGGGCCCTCGTCGCCACCGCCGGATTCGCCCCGAGATCCTGGTCAGAACGCGCCCCGGGAGAGGTCCGGGGAGTCGCGGCATCGGCACCTTGTTGGTTTCTCCCGAGCGCAGCGCCTCGCGCACGCGCGAACGCGTTGTGCGGCATGCGATCACCCTCGGCTCTCCCCCAGGGAATTCTGTTCCGCCGCAGCGCGGCAGAGGCGATCGGCACGCGAGTTCCAGTGAGCCTGGCTATGGTCGGGGGCGGCAAAGAGGGGGGTGATGACCAGGGGGGGTGGATACCATGGCGTGGGCCATGATATTTCCCCGGATTTCATGGCGCCTCTTCTCATTTCATTACGTCCCTGGCCCCCCCGCTGGGCCGCGCACGTGTCGCCTGTCACCCTGGCCCCCCCCCTCTTGGACACCCTCCTCTTGGCCGCTCCCGATATGGCAGGAGTTAGTGGTCTGGCGGCAGGAATGGGGGGAACGAGGCGGGGCGCGGCCGCGGAGGGCGGAATAAGGAGGAGGGCACTCACAGCACGAAGATTTTCGACTGGAGTGGCAAGGGACACATCGGCGTAAACCTATAAACGAGCGGAGGTCCGCGAGGATTCCCAGGGGTGCCTCGCCGCTAGGTGGGGGAGTCAGCGCAGACACGAGAAATCCGCGCGGACCTCCGACAGTTTATGTTTATGCAGTCTGCTGTCCGTCTGCCCATCCCAGGCCGCCGCCATCTAATCGGTGTTCTGGCGATTCCGTGGACCGTTTTCGTTTCGATTCCGCTTCGCAGCAGAGGCGGACCGAAGGCAGCACCAGGGAAAGCGAGCACACGACGAGAACGGAGACACACACAGTCTGGCTCGCGCCCCGATCCCTCTTGGGCGCCTCTGCGACGTGCCCCTCGTGGCCTTCGCTCGCGGCCGCGCGCCGCCCGCGCTCCGCAGGCCGCCCGCAGAAAGGGCCGCCAACCCTCGGCCAAGAGGCCCAAGCGCGAGAAGGGCAAGGGCAAGAGGGACGGGCCTCCCGCGAGGGGGGGCTCTTGGGCTCGGCGGCGGCCAATAGAGTCGACCAGACGTAGGAGTGGCCTCTCGCCGGAGTGACCCTTCGGTGCGGGCCCACCGGGGCCCCCCGATCGCCGAGCGCGAAGCGGCTGCAGCGGCTTGCGCGCCCAGGTTTGGCCATCCCTCAGAGGAGGAAAAGGTACCCATACCTCTACCCCTTCGCCCGTTTTCCTCTTGTTCGACCTCCTGGGAGGCCCTCGTCGCCACCGCTGGGTTCGCCTCGAAATCCTAGTCAGAACGTTAGAGCGCACCCCGGGAGAGGTCCAGGGAGTAGCGCTATCAGTACCTTTTCGGTCTCCCCAACCCCGCGTCCTCCGGTCACGTGTAGCCGAAAGAGGGAGACGATGACTAGTGGTGGGTGGGACATCACACGCGGGGGGCTGTGCCCGCTAGTTCTTAGCGGAAGGTTTCGTTGGCTCTCGGAGGAGGCATTTTCGCTTCGGGATGTTTTCCGGCAGCTCCTCCTCGTCGGCGGCTCTTTGGGGTTGCCCGGACTGTCCCGAGGCCAGGGCCATGGTCCGGTAGAGGGAATCAAATAGTGGGCTTTCCCCCTCTCCCCCAACCTCAAAGTTGGCACGCGAGCGGGGGAGACTGCGGTCGAAGTGCAACTCATCGGACCCACCGCCAACTTGGAACATTGGGGGGAGGGGGAGGCGCTGACCGATGAATGCATGCGTGTTCGCTATTGTTTGTCCGAGGCCTGTGTCTCAATGGATTTCATGGCCCTTTCTTCCTGTTGCAACACGTCCCTTGGCCCCAGTTGGGACGCGCACGTGCCTCGGGCAATGATTTGCGACCTCCCCTCTTCGATGCCCCACAGGGTTCGGAAGCAGGAGGTGGCAGAGTCTAGCGGGTCCTGAGGGGAACGGGTCCTCTTCTTCGTCCTCCTCCTCCTCCTCCTCCTCTTCCTCCTCCTCCTCCTCCTCCTCCTCCTCTCGCCGTTTTCAGGGTTCCCGCACATCCCCCCCAGGCCCCAGGACCGTGAAAACACGACCCAGGACGAAGAATGGGTCCCAGCGGAAAGATTTGGGGTCCAGGTCCTGTTTCTGTTAGGGCCCGTTTGGGTCACAGCAATCATTGGGCGAACGAGAGTGTGGGTGATGAGGGATGAGGCTCTGAGGATGAGCTCGACGATGGGGAGGGGGAGGAGAAGGACGAGGGGGGAGATGGGAGATGGAGGAGAAGGGGGACCTCGACAGGAAGGAACCACGCTTGGATCAGATGATACGGTCGATGTGGCGACAGCCAGGGGGAAACAAGTCGGGAGGAGGAGGCGGAGGAGGAGGAGGATCGCCCCCACTCCTTCCTTCTCACCAACCGGACGGATGATGATGATCATGATGGTGCTGTTGATGTTGATGACGATGGTGGTGATGATAATGATGGCGATGACGATGTTAATGATGATGATGATGTTGCTGTTGTTGATGATGATGACGATGACGATGATGGTCTTAATGCTGATGATGGTGGTGGTGGTGAATATGATGGTGATGATTATGATGGTGGTGACGATGTTGTTGTTGAAGATGCTGTTAATGATGATGACGATGATGAGGAGGAGGAGGAGGAGGAGGAGGAGCAGGAGGAGCAGTGCGAGGAGGATTCATTTCGGTACCACCCGTTACCACTGGAAAGTTACAGAGAATCGTAGTTCTTAGCATAACCTCTGCACAATAATGACACGCGCGACGCGCAAGTCTAGAAGCGTAAACAATCTGGGAGAAAACAAACGCAGGAGGAGGAGGAGGAGGAGGAGTGTAAGGAGGAGGAGCTGGAGGAGGAGAAGGAGGAGGAGGAGGAGGTGGGCTGACGTCTCACGCCTGGCGCGTCTGCGGCTTGCCCGAGGAGGCGGGCGGGGACGGGAAATCCGGACCACTGCCTCGGAGACGGGGCGCCCCTCGTGTGCTCACTCGGTGCGAGGGCCACGGCGCTGAGCTCCTGGATCGGCTGGGGAAGCAAGCACCGCGGGGTCCGCGGGCCGGGCACGAGGAGGGAGGCCAGGAAGTTTCGGGCGGACGCCTCCTCCTCCTCCTCCTCCTCCTCCTCCTCCTCCTCCTCCTCCTCCTCCTCCTCCTCCCCCTCCCCCCCTGCTCCTCCTCCTCCTCCTCCTCCTCCTCCTCCTCCTCCTCCTCCTCCTCCTCCTCCTCCTCCTCCTCCTCCCTCTCCTCCTCCTCCTCCTCCTCCTCCTCCTCGCCCTCCTCCTCCTCCTCCTCCTCCTCCTCCTCCTCCCTCCTCCCCCTCCTCCTCCTCCTCCTCCTCCCCCTCCTCCCCCTCCCCCTCCACCTCCCCCTCCCCCTCTCCCGCGTCCTTCTTCTCCAGCCCTCGCGGGGCGCCGCCCCGGAGAAGAGCAGCCCTGCGACCCAGAACCGCGGGGAAAAAACGCGGAGCACGACCCGCTCCGCGCCCCCGTGGGCGGCCTGGGGCCAAGCCCCTGGGCCCATCTCCCAGCTGTGCGCTGCTACTCTTCGCCTTCGGGTGCTCGTCAACTGGGGGCGATCAGCGGGGGAGGGGGAGGAGGAGGAGGAGGAGGAGGAGGAGGAGGAGGAGGAGGAGGAGGAGGAGGAGGAGGAGGAGGAGGAGGAGGAGGAGGAGGAGGAGCGCGCTGCATGCGGCGCGACGCTGTGCAGCCCGGGTGAGCCCATTGATGCAGAGCTGCCCGCCCCTGCGTCGGCATCGGGGTCGCGCGCCCCATCCCGAGGACAGACGCTCGCGGTCGCGGAAGCGCAAGGACCTGCGGGGGGGAGGAGGAGGGCGACGGCGAGGAGGGGAGAGGACGACGGCGAAGGGGGGGTGTTTCCTCCTCCTCCTCCTCCTCCTCCTCCTCCTCCTCCTCCTCCTCCTCCTCCTCCTCCTCCCGTTTCCCACCCACCTGATTTTTCCTATCGCTGGGCAGGGCTCGAGCTAAACGGAGTTTTGGCGATTTCGTGGACCGTTTTCGTTTTGATTGCGCTTCGCAGCCAAGGCAAGACGAAGACAGGACGAGGGAAAACGAAAACAAGTGGAAATCAAAAGCACTGTCTAGCTCGAGCCCTGTCGCTGGAGCCCCCTGGAGCTCGGCGTCTTCCTCGGGGCCCTTCCTTCGTCCCGGGCCGGCCCAAAAACAGCCTCTGGCCGCCGAGGTCGCGAGGAGAAACGCTGGGGTGCAAGACAGTGTGGAGATCTGCCTCCTCCCGTGGGGCGCGGCTGGGCGAGAAGCGCCCACGACAGGAGATGGTCTGCAGTCATGGGCTGCAGCCGAGCATCTGGTTGAGAAAGCTGCTTCCGAAAAGCTGGGCCAGCGTTTCCTCGCCGACTCGCCAGAGAGCCGGCCCAGTTTCTTGCGCGCGCGAGCATTTGGCCCATGCTTGTCTTACAGTGGAGGCCCATGCCAAGAAACACCCTGCTTGCCTCCAGGGTGCCCTGGGTTTCTCGGTTTCGATGGTTTTGCTGTGGAAGGCGCGATGCTCCCGCTAAAAAGTCACTGGACGTTCTGGGGTCTCAGGGTTGGGTTTATTGTGGAAGGTTTTTTGTGGTCGGGCGCCTTCCGGATAGCTGGCCCAGGCTTCTGAAATGCTAGTTTTCTTGACTCGATTTCCAACCGTAAAGCGCGTGGATTGGCGACAGGCCATGCTTCCGTAGTAGGTTGGCAGGCTCCGTCGACAAATGAGGCAGCATTGGCCTCATGCTTGGGTGGGTGTTCTTTTCCGATGCGTGGATCTGGCGCCCACGCGCCAGAAACGGATCCCTAATCCGTGTCAGCGTGTGCCCGATCCATGGCCTGGGATCGTGCCGGTACGCGCTAGCAGACCTGGCATCTCAGCTTCGCATGAGCTAGAGGAGGGACACGCGACGTACGCCAGGTTTGCGGTCGTCTCAGGTGGAACTCTTTCTGGGGGCATGTCCAAATTCTCGTGCTTGCAGGGAGTCGTCAAGAGCGCCGAAACCATCATTACGAAGAGCGAGGTCGAGAGCTCTCGGGGCCCCCCAAGAAGGGAGATCGCTCAGTACTGATCGGCTCACGCGGTTTCAGAAACCGGGAGCCCTCCGTCCGGGCTCGGGCGGGTAGTAATGGATGGCGGCCCAAGTGGGGGGTGAGCCTTCGAGCCGTAAAGGGGCCCTTTGGGGTGTCCCTGTGAGAGCCAGCTGGGGCCCCAAAGGGGCCCCAGACTGCCCCTTTTAGCTAATAGGGCCCGTCTCTTCACCCCCCCCCTCATGGGCCACCCCCTACGTACTGCCACCCGCCCGGTAGGCATGAATTGACCACGCGCCGCAGCCAAGACGCCGCAATTGGGGAAACTAAAAGGTACCGACGCCGCTGCTCCCCGGACCTCTCCCGGGGTGCGCCCTGACCAGGATTCCGAGGCGAATCCAGCGGTGGCGACGAGGGCCGCCAAGGAGGCCCAAGATGAGGAGAACGAGGGGAGGGTAGAGGTCAGAGATCCGACGCCGTGATTTTTCTAATACGCGGTCCCCCGAAGTCTCGACCCATTCCCCAGGACCCGTTTTTCGTCCTGAGTCGTTTTTTGACGGTCCCGGGGCCCGGCGAGGGCCCGCAGAGGCCGAAACATCGAAAAGAAAACCGTCGTCTTGATTTTGTTCAATGCGTTGGAGGTCTGGGACCTTCGCCTCCTCCCGGCAAGAGGGGGTCGCTGTGGATTCGGGCAGGGGGCCCCGTGGTCTCTGGGGCGCTCCTCAGTTCTCTCTAGATCCATAGCTGGGGAGCCGCCTCGCGGCCAGGGCTCGCCGTGGCCAGGGGTAAGTCGGGCCTGTCCCTCTACAGGGGGAGTGTTCAAAAACAGTAGATAAAAATAGTCTGGGGACTATTTTTTGAGTATGTTTGTTCATCTTTTGATGATTGTTCGAATACTTTTTAATTTTTCGTCCAAAATCTCCCTGTAGGGGGACAGGCCCGACCTAAGGCCAGGGACAGCTCGGCTCCTCCGCGCGCCCGAAGCCGGCGCTCCGGCGAGCAGCACGGGGGCGGCATGGTGGATCTGCGAGGCCCGCGGGGAGCACAGAGAGCTCCCAGAGATGCGACGCTCCGAGCAAAGGGTCTTGGGCAGGTTGCGGCCTCCGGGGCCCTCGCCGGGCCTCGGGAGCGCCAACAAGCGACTCAGTGCGGGCAGTACTGCTGTCCACATCCACTGCAGTAGAAAGTTTCGGGCTCCCTTCCCCAGAAACCCGAGGCGCACTGGATATGGATAAGTTTGCCCCCTAGGGGCTCGATCTTTTATCCATATCCAGTGCACCTCGGCCTCGTGGCGCCATTTCCAACAAAGTTCAAGGCGCGCTGGATATGGATATAAATCTTGCCCGCACTCAGGACAAACAGCCGACCCCAGGGACGTGGTCTGGACCTCCGGGGCCCACGCATCGACAAAGCTCAAGCAGTGGCGAAGCGTCCCGGCTCGCTTATAGCCCCACCAAACAATGTTCTAAGAACCTTTTGTGGTTCCCACGAAATGTTCTTAGAACATTTCTGGCTGGGACTGTCTGGTTTTAACACATCGGGCCTAATGTTCTAAGAACGCTGCTTGTGTTCTTAGAACATGTTTGGGGTTCGAAGAACATCTCGTGGTATGACTAGGAATGCCGGGACGGTCGGTCCCTGCTCGAGACCTGCCCCTGGCGCAAGGTGCCCCCCGGGGACTTCCAAGGAGGCCCGCACGGCGCCCAGAGCACTCCTCGCGAGGCCCAGAGGGCCCCCAGGAGCTCCAACATGGAGCGAGCCCCAGAGCACGAGGGACGAGAAGACACGAGGAGGGCACGGATCATGGACGAGAGAGAGAGAACGAGAAAAACGATGAGGGTGAGGGACGGAGGACGGTCGGTCCCTGCTCGAGAAAACACTGGAGCGGCCGGGCGTCTGGGAGGGAGCGGCAGGGCGGGGGCGGGGGGCAGGGCGCGGGGGCCGCTCCCGAGAGAGAGAGAGACCTCCGGCCCGCCGGCAGGCGCCCCGCGCAGAGCCACGCGGTCTGCCGAGGGCCCCCGCGGGCTCCCCGGACCTCCACCGTGTGGAGCACAAGCAAGTCGAAAAACACTACAGCCGGCGGAGGGTCCCATGTTCTTGAGGGGTGGTCTTCTGGCCTAGGTCCGACTGTACAAAAAATAGTCCCCAGCTTTTTTTCTATTATTTTTGCATGCTCCCCATGTGGAGGGACAGGCCCTGTCGCCCCTGGCCTGGTCTTAGGTCGGGCCTGTCCCCCTACAGGGGGATTTTGGACGAAAATTTCTCAAAAAAAAAACTTCAAAAGGTGAACAAACATATTCGAAAAATAGTCCCCAGACTATTGTTATCTACTGTTTTTGAATACTCCCCCTGTAGAGGGACAGGCCCGACTTACCCCTGGCCACGGCGAGCCCCGGCCGCGAGGCGGCTCCCCAGCTATGGATCTAGAGAGAACTGAGGAGCGCCCCGGAGACCACGGGGCCCCCTGCCCGAGTCCACAGCGACCCCCTCTTGCCGGGAGGAGGCGAAGGTCCCAGACCTCCAACGCATTGAACAAAATCAAGACGACGGTTTTCTTTTCGATGTTTCGGCTTCTGCGGGCCCTCGCCGGGCCCCGGGACCGTCAAAAAACGACTCAGGACGAAACGCCGGTCCTGGGGAATGGGTCGAGACTTCGGGGGACCGCGTGTTGAAAAAATCACGGCGTCGGATCTCTGGGTCTGCAGACGCTCTGGGGCACCCTTGGAAGCTCAAGGGGCGAGGACACACGTGCCCCCAGATCTCTGAGAGCAAGGGGCGTGCAGTGTCAGAAGGCCGTAGATCCATACTGGACGTGTGTCAAGAACTGCAGCGTGGGCCAATGCGTTGGAGCAGGCGTATTATGGAGCCACGCTGGTTCAACCCCAAGGCGGAGGGGCTCCCAGAGGCACTGCCGCCCCAGCCATGATATACATCTTCAGTTGGCCGAAGGAGTTCTGCAAGGGGTTCGCCGTGTGGAAGCGCCGCATCGGTTGCCACAAGCCGCCAGCCACAAAGAAGCCTCTGAACACATTTGCCGCCTTGCAAGGGGCCATGAGCCTCGCCACGCTCTACGTCTGCTCGTGGGCGAGGGAGTACACCGGCACCGAGTGCACGGACGGCGACGAGAACGTCCTGCTCGGGTTCGAGGCTTTCACAAACATAGTGACATTCATGGCTCTGGTGGCTCTGTTGTTCGCCGCTTACATGTTCATGCGGTTTTGGAACAAAGTCCTGGCCCTGAACGGAACGGAAGGATATCCCTACACGACGCTCTCACCCGCAGACGACCAGAAGTACAAGATGATCAACGTCCCGCTGAAGACCATCAGGGCGACGTTCAAGCAGATGATGCTGTACGACCCAGTGGTGCTGGTGTACTTCCTGTGCGCGCTCTCCGTCGCGATCCTCAGCCTCGTCGCCCCGAACCCCCTCACGCACGCCGCAGACTGCCCGCACGCGGAGCAGGTGCGCTCCTGGGGCATGGCCTTCCTCTGGGTGGACGCGCTGTACGTCCCGCTCTTCTACTTCTGCTGCCCCAACCGGAACGGCGTGGTCGCCGAGATCCCGTGGCCGGCGGGCGAGGGGCCCAGAGTGCAGGCCTCCGCCTGACTAGGCGCGGGGCCGGCCGCGCGGCCCCGAGCTGCCTCGACGGCGCCGGGGAAGCCGTGTGAGGGCCTCCGGTCCGCGCGGGCGCTAGCTATCGGCTTGGGGTTCAGTCGGGCGGGCCCCCCTACAGGGGGATTTTCGACGATTTGTTTTTTCTTTTTGAATATATATATATATTTATATATATACATAACAAAAAACAAAAATAACCCCCAAAAATGTCAAACAATATTCAAACATAGTCCCCAGATTTTTGTTGGGGGGTATTTGTGGACCATGTTGGGGGGTATCTTTTATTTGTCGTCGAAGGCCCCCCCTCTGTAGGGGGGGACCGGCCCGAGCCTCCGGCCCAGAGGCGGAGCCGCCCGTGCCCGCCCCCCCCTCCTGCCTGCCGGCGATCTCTCGCGCCGCGGAGGCCCGGAGGGCAGCCCTCCTCCCGCCCTCCTCGGGGGGCAGCGGCCGTCGGGGGCGGGAAAGAGGGGGGTGACGACTAGGGGGGGGGGGTGGATCTCATGGCGGGGGCCATGATATTTTCCCAGGTTTCATGGCGCCTCTTCCTGTTTCATGACCTCCCTGGCCCCCCCGCTGGGCCGCGCTTATGCCGCCGGTCATGATTTGCACCCCCCCCCTTTTTGGACACCCCCCTCTTGGCCGCTCCCGAGGTACGGGGGGGGAGATGGGACCTTCGCCTCCTCCCAGCACGACGGGGTCGCTGTGGACTCGGGCAGGGGGCCCCGTGGTCTCCGGGGCGCTCCTCGGTGCTCTATACATCCACAGATGGGGAGCCGCCTCGCGGCCGGGGCTCGCCGTGGCCAGGGTTACGTCGGGCCTGTCCCTCTACAGGGGGAGTCTTCAAAAATAGTAGAAAACAATAGTCTGGGGACTATCCTTTGAGTATTTTTTGTCTTGCTCTTGTTCAACACGGTGGAGGTCTGGGGAGCCCGCGGGGGCCATCGAGAAAAACCTTCGTCTTGATGTTGTACAATACGTTGGAGGTCTGGGCTTAAGTCGGGCCTGTCCCCCCACAGGGGGATTTCCAACGAAAAATTATGTAAAAAACCCAGAATGGTCCAAAATAATGCAAAAATAGTCTGGGAACTATTTTTTGAGTATGTTTTGACCTTCTTGTGGTATTTCTGGGGTACTTCTGTTTTTTCCTTGAAAATCCTTCTGTAGGGGGACAGGCCCGACTTAAGCATAGGGGGGGATGCATCGACCCCCGATCGCCCATTGATCCCCGATGGGGGCCCGATAGCCCAAACCCGCCCAGGCAGGTTCGGATTCGCTATCGGGGGCGTATCGCCGATTCATCGGCGATGTATCGCCGATGCCAGGTCGATGCATGCCCCCCTATCCTATCCCCCCCTATCGTTGTCCCTCAACTCCCGCCCCACCTTGGGTCTCACCCGCAGGCCATGTACGCCGTCTGGCGCGCAGGCAGGCAACCGAGCTGAATCAGTCACAGGAGGAAATGGACGAAGCGTTGCGCCGATTGGGCGATCAGGTCAATAGATTCAATCGTTGCGCTGAGTGAAACGCTGCCCCGGCTCCCGCGCCACCCTTTGCTCAATGTGCGCAAATGTGGAGGCCCTTCCGCTACCTTTTAGCATGCTTAAGACAGTGTGCTATTTGGGGGCTTGCGATGTTTCGGAGGTTAGAGCGCATCTTGTGTAATAGACCCTGCGCCTGATCACAATGACATCCGTGCTGGATTAAAAAGGCGTGTTGGAACAAGCGTGTATGCCTATTTGGGGTCAGAGGTCGAGGCCCACGTTTCACAGACCAGAGTTTATTTGTCAGGCTGCTCTACGAAGAGAATGATGGTAGGCAGCTTGGAAGAAGGGATGGAATCATGGACGGTTGACGCGGTGCGAGTCGGGGTATACACGGTGTGTCGTTGTGCGGGCTCCATTGGAGACCAGAGCGATGAACGAGGCCGTTAGCAATTGCTTCGAGAGCAGGGTGTGGCAGTGACTACTCGGCGGCGCAAGGACCCCCATGTATCTTGTCCGGCTCTGGGGAAAACCGTGCGGCGAGAAAGCGGGGCGGAGGACTGCGGGGGCGGCAGGGAGGCTGAGTGCGCCCGGAGAGGGCGGGGAATGCACGGGCTGGTCGGGAGAGGGGGGCCCTGGCGGCAAGAAGGGAGGAAACGCATGTTGGAGGAAGGTTCATCATGCTCAAGAGCGACGGGTTTTCGCCTTCATTCGTTGCACTTCGCGAAGCCCCTACCAGCCAATACAGAAACGAACCCCAGGGGACCTACCTTGAGCAGGGAAGTGTGGGGGCAAGCAGTGGAGTCGAGGAGAGCGCAGCCGTCAAACCAGACTCCGGGATAAACGCTATCATACTCGGGAGTGAAGCATGCACGTCTTCGTGGACTTGTTGGTAGCTTACTTGGTCCATGTTGCAGTCCGTTTAGGACCGTTTGGGGGGCCTCGGGGCTCTCTAGAGGCTCTCCTTCTCGGGGCCATCTTGGAAGACTCTTGGGTTTCTTGAAGCCCCCTTTGGGGCCCCTTGGGGCAACTGTGGTGGCCAAGGATTAGATAGTGAGCGGCGCATCGACGACGCCTACGGCGAGTCACCGCCGCCCCCTGCCTTTGGAATCGCCTGTCTGGCCGAACGTTGTGGCCAGAGCTCCGCCAAGCTATCGAACCATGTGTTCCCCCCAGCCGTTGTGGAAACCTCTCGGGGAACAAGCAACGGAGAAAGAAGAAACGGAGGAGAGGGAGGACAATTATAGAGGTAGAGGAGGAGGAGGAGGAGGAAGAGGAATACGAATAATTACAATAGTACTAATAGTGGTAATCGGAGGTTGGGGGGTGAGATCGCAGTGAAAAGGAGACCCCCCACCGGGAAATCGGTTTCGGTTTCGTGTTCGTGTCGTGCGTGCGGGCGAGGCGAAGCTGCGCGTGATCCTCGTGTAGCTAGGCCGAAGTAGGAGCGAAAGTCCGTTCCCGTCCGCCGGTGGCTAGGAGGTGTCCCAGTTGGGCCGGGCGGCGTCCTGGGTGTCCCGGGTGTGAATAGGAGCGAACGTCCGTTTCCCGTCCGCTGGTGGCCAGGAGGTGTCCCAGTTGGGCCGGGCGGTGTCCCGGGTGTCCCGGGTGTCAGTAGGAGCGAAACTCCGTGTCCTGTCCGCCAGTGGCCGGGAGGTGTCCCAGTTGGGCCGGGCGGTGTCCTTGGTGCCCTGCGTGGCCCGGGCGTCCCGGCGCTAACGCATGTCGCTAATTTCATAATTCATGTTTCCGGCGCTTGCGGCGGGCTTTCTTATCCAATCCAGCTTATCTTATCCAATACATATTATCTTATCCAACCCATCTTGTCCCATCTTATCTTATCCCACCCAATCCAATCCACCCAACCCAATCCATCAATTAATATGTTTCTGCGCCTGCGGCGGGCCAATCCAATCCATCTTATCTTATCCAATCCAGTTCTTCCATTCCAACCCATCCTATCCCATCCAATCCAACTTATCCCATCCAATCCAATCCACCCAACCCAATCCATCAATTCATTGTTGTCGGCGCCTGCGGCGGGCTTTCTTATCCAATCCAGCTTATCTCACCCAATCCATCTTGTCAAATCCAATCTTGCCCAATCCAGCTTATCTTTCCAATCCACCCAACCCAATCAATCCCCCCCCCAACCTCCTTATCGCCCGCAGGGCGGTCGTATAGGTACTATGATTAAGAATAGTAATGCAAAGTACACTGGCAGTAGGAATAAAGCCACTACTAATACAAGAAAGAAGAGGGGGAGGAGGCGGATGAGGCTAAAGAGGAGGAGGAGGAGGAGGAGGCGGAGGAGGAGGAGGAGGACACTTAGGGCCTCCTGAGAGCTTCCTGCTGGCCTTTTGGGGGCCTCTTGTAAGCCTCCTTGGGCCTCTTGAGGCCTTTGAGGGGCTTCTTTGGGGCCTCCAAGGCTGTCTTGGGGCGCTCCTGGTCCGCCTGGCGCTGTCGGAAGCAGTCTTGGGGGGGCCTTTTTGAACCGATGTGGGGCCCCCTTGGGGCGCTTCGGAGCCGTTTTGAATGTCATCTTGAGCGTCTCGGGGGCACCTTGGGCCGTCTTGAGGCCCTCTTGGGGCCGTCATGGAGGCCTTTTGGGGCGTCACGGGGTCATCTCGGAGGCATTGGCGGCCATCTTGGGGCCGTCTTGGGAGCCTCTTGGGCCATCCTGGGCCGTTGGAAGGCCGAACAGAAGCAAAGGGCAGCTTCCTTCTAAAACCTATGTGAAATCAATGATTTGGGCATCTTCGGGCCTTCCTGGAGGACCTCTTGGTGGCCCCCCGAGCCGGCTAAAAAGCCTCGTGGGGGCTTCTTGGGCCGCCTTGGTCCGTCGTGGAGGCTTCAGGCTTCTTGAGCGGACTTGGACGCATCTTGGACCCTCTTTGCGCCGTCTAGGAGGACATTTGGAACTAGTTCGGGCCGTCGTGGAGGCAATCGTGGGCGTCGTGGAGGCCTCTTGGGCTGTCTTGAGGCCCTCTTGGGGCCGTCTTGGAGGCTTCTTGGGCCGTCACAGGGTCATCGTGAAGGCTTGTGGGGCCACCTTGAGGCGATCTGAGGGGCCTCTTCGGCAGTCCAAAGGCCGAAACGAAGCAAAGGGTAACATCTTTCAACAACTTCAGGAACATAAATGATTTGGGCCTGTTCGGGCCCTCCCGGGAACCTCTTGGAGGCCTCTTGGGCCGTCTTGGGGGCTTCTTAGGAGCTTCTTGGGCCGTCTTGGGCAGTCGTGGAGGCTTATTGGACGGACTTGGAGGCATTTTGGACCCTCTTGGGCCGCCTTGGAGACCATCATGGACCCTATTGGGCCGTCTTGGAAGCTATATTAGACCATCTCGGGCGACCTTGGAGGCCTCTTGGGGCCGTCTTGGAGGCTTCTTGTGCCGGCATGAGGTCATCGTGGAGGCCTTTGGGGCCATCTTTGGTCGATCTTGGGGGCCTCTTGGACCGTCTTGGGCTGTTGGAAGGCCGAAACACAAGCTAACGCCCAAGTCCTTCAAACACCTAGAGAGAACAGATTTGGGCCTCTTTGGGCCCTACTGGAGCACTTTTTGGAGGCCACTTGAGCCGTCTTGAAGGCCTCTTGGGGGCCTTTTGGAGCCATCTTGTGCCATCTGGGTGGCTTCCTGGGCGGACTTGGAGGCATCTGGGACCCTCCTGCGGAGTCTTGGAGGCCATCTTGGACCATTTTTGGCGAACTTGGAGGCCACATTGGGCCATCTTCGACATCTTGGAGGCCGCCAAACGGATATCACGGTATCTCCGTCGCAGGCTGGCCAACGGCTTTTTGGGGTCCCTTTGGGCGGTTTTGGTGTCATCCTGGTCCTTTCTGGCCCCTCTTGGAGGTTTATTTGAGAGGAGCAAGACTGCTTGATAATGAGACGTTCCAGCATGTTCTGGATCTCCTAATGCCCTACGCGGATTCCAGAGCCCCAGAGACGAGGGCAGCTGGATATTCTGGATTTCCCAGAACGCATCCTGAACCAATCGCATCATGGCGTCATGTTCGTCCCACCATCGGGTCATTGTGATGCCGTCTTGAGGTCTCAGCAGCCCATCATAAGCGAACGGGTGAGAAGCCCGACAAGAGTGATGTTCAATACGTGTTTCAAGGGTTACGGGCTCTCGGGGACGCATGCATGCTGCGAAACCACACGTAACTATGTTGAGATGGTTGTGAGGCTTATAGGAGGCGTGTTGGAAGTTCTCTTGAGCAATCCTGAGCTATCTTGTGCCATCGCGTAGGCCATACTGCAGGTTGGGGCCATCTTGGAGCCGTCTCGGACCAGATTTGACGACATGATCCTTCCCGATGCGCCCCCCTTCCAGAGTCTTGGTCTTAAGTCGGGCATGTCTCTCTACAGGGAGAATATTCAAGAATAGTCAACAGAAGCGTCTGGGGACGATTTGTAAACTATGTTTGACTGTTTTCCAGCTTGTGTTTCATGTTTCTTTGCCCTTCCAAAATCAGCCTGTAGGAGGACATGCCCAACATAAACCTGGTCGTGTCAGCCATGCCCCCCCCACCCCCCCTGTTGAACAGATGCAGTGAGGGTGCTGTCCAGCAAAGAGGGAAGGATCTATCAGATATTGAAATCGCGTTTAGTTGCCTGGCGCTCGCTGTGTGTGGGTGTGTGTGCCTGCTGAGAGTAAGGCGCAGGCTGTGGCGGAAAGTGGCGGCAAATTAATGGGGCTTTCGAGCAGGCCATCTTGGGCCAAACGCGCAGTGTTTTACCATGCGAGTTCAAGAGATGCAAGTGGCTCGACAAACATGATTGACGCTTCGCGTGTCCCCATCAGCCCATCCAGAAACATATCGCCAGGCGAGTTGCCTTGATCAGGGAAGTGTAGAAGAGTGCAGTGTAACAACCGCATTGGAAGCGTTTTCTCGGAGGTCTCTTGGAGCCATCTTGGGGCTCCCTTGGGGGTTCTCGCGGAGCCTCTTGGGGCACTATTGATGCCCTCTTGGGGCTCTCTTGGGGCCTTCTTGGAGCCCTCTTGGGGCTCGTTGGGGAGGTCTGGGAGGCCTCCCGGGGCCATCTTGGCCCCCATGCTTCAAAAAGAGTGGGGTACTAAATTCGGGCCCGCCCCTGGGAGGTTCAAACCTTTGCGCCTTGAGGCTCTCTTGGGGCGCTCTTGGGCGCTCTCGGGGCCCTCTTGGGCCCCTCTTGGGGCTCTCTCGGGCCGGCTTGGGGCCATCTTGAGGCCTCAAGAGCCCATCGGAAGCGAAAAGGCGAGACGACAACCCACACATATTGATTTCCCTTCGGTGTTGAAGCCATTTTGGCCTCTTGCGGGGGGTGCTGTGAGGGCTCGGAGGGCACTTGAAACCGTCTTGGGGCCGTCTTGAAGCATCTTGGATGTTTGTCGGAGGCTATCTTGAGCCATCTTGGGGTATCTTGAGCAATCTTGGAGGCCATCGTGGGCTCTTGGGGACCCCTTGGAGTCATCTTGGACCACCTTGGACGCTCTCACACCTCCGTCCCTTCCGCCCCTCCCAGGACCAGCGGAGAACCCCTTCCCCGAGCGGGGGAAGGAGGGGTTATGGCGGAGAGAAGACAACGTTCGTTAAGCCACCTGCGCCCAGAGGGCTGGTGGGATTCACCCGACGGTCCGACAAATATAGTCCCCACCCCCTTCCCCCCCCGTGGAGTAGACCTTGTGTGTTTTCTGGCGCCTGCTTAGAGCAGGTGGAGTCTCCCCCTACAGGACGCACTGTCACAGAGAGTCGCACTGAGCAGAGGTCCGGAGCCAGACCCCCCTTTTTCCCGCCCAGTGCCGAAGCGCCGAAGAGGAAAACATTCACCGACATCACGGTCGTGTCGTGGAGGAGGTCCCGTGCTTCCTCGTTGACATCATCGCCATCGCCATCGCCATCGCCATCGCCATCACCATCTTCGCCGCAATCCTCCCTCTCCTCCTCCTCCTCCTCCTCCTCCTCCTCCTCCTCCTCCTCTCCTCCTCCTCCCCTCCTCCTCCTCCTCCTCCTCCTCCTCCTCACCTCCTTCCCCTCCCTCCTCCTTCTCCTCCTCCTTCTCCTCCTCATCATCATCATCCCTCCTCCTTCTTCTCCTCCTCCCCCTTTTCCTTCTCCTCCTCCTTCTCCCCCCTCTCCTCCCCCTCCCCCTCCTCCTCCTCCTCCTCCCTCCTTCTCCTCCTCCTTCCGCCTCCTCCCTCCATGTATGACTCTGAAGCTTGAAAATTGGCAACAGTTTCACCGATTGAGGGCGAGTCGTTTTCGAAATTTGGCTCTCGCCCTCGCGCCGTGCACATTCGTTGTAAAAAATTGATAGAGTTTCACCGATTGAGGGCGGGTGGTTTTCAAAATGTGCTCTCGCCTTAGCGCGGCGCGCGTTCGTTTTTTAACATCTGCAAAAATTGACGGATTGAGGGCGGGTCGTTTTCAAAATGTGGTTCTCGCCTTAGCGACGCGCGCATTCGTTGTAAAACAATTGAAGGGCTTCACGGATTGAGGGCGGGTGGTTTTAATCATGTGGCTCTCGCTTCAGCGCGGCGCACATTCGTTTTAAACAGTTGCAAGAGCTTCACGGATTCCCATGATCAGCGTACCGGAAATGATGTTTTGACAGGATTTTGGGTTACGCGGGTGCCACAGTTACGTTGATTCGTTGTGTTGAAGTCCCAGGAATGTGGCGTTCTGGCGCGACTCAGGATCGTCAACACTCAACAATCAGGTTGATCCGTGGCGTTGGAATCCCGAGAACAATGTTTTAACATGCTTCAGACTCTTCAAACAATTATCTTCTTCCAACGGCGCAGTTCCTTCAATGGAATGAACCGTTGTATGGGGCCTGGGAAGAGGGGGCTTGGAGGGAGGGTTTAGTCCAACATCGTTGATGCCTCTTGGGTTTACACTGGTCCTCCTCCTCCTCCCTCCTCCTCGCTGCCGCGGCCCGCGGCGGGGTAACGCCCCTCAGGACCGGGGAAGGCGGGCGAAGGTTTCGGGGTCGCCGAAGAGGCCCCCCGCGCCGCTGGTCTCCGGCAGCGCGCCTGCAGTGATAAGAGGGCGGCCAGGGTCGGCAGCGGGGTCTGAGGGGGGAGGGGGGAGGAGGACGAGGAGGAGGAGGAGGAGGAGGATGAGGAGGAGAAGGAGGAGAAGGAGGAGGGGGAGGGGGAGGAGGAGGAGGAGATCATGCCAGTGTTAAGTCGGGCACGTACCTCTACAGGAGAAATATTCAAACATAATACAAAATTAGTAAGGACGATGTGGGATTATTTTTGACTATTTTGGGGTGTTTGTTTGACTATGTTTCATTTGTCTTTCAACATCCGCCTGTAGGGGCACATGCCCGACCTAGTGCTAGCTCAGAGGTCCGTGCGGATTTCTCGGATCGGCGCTTGACCGCCATGGCGGCGCCTCCGGCGCCGCCCCTGGCGCGCGGAGCGCGCCAGGCAGGGGGGTCAGCGCGGATGAAAGAAATCCGCACGGACCTCCGAATTTGTTTGTTTATGTCATTTCTTGTTCACCTAGATGCGACACCACCTGGGTTCAAAGGAGGAAATGGTACCCGTACGACTACCCTTCCCTCGCTTTCCCATTTTTGGTTCTCCTGGAAGGTCCTAGCCGCCACCGCTGGATTCGCGTCGAAATTTAGAGCACAACGCACCCCAGGAGAGGTCCGTGGAGTAGCGGTATCGGTACCTCTTGATTTCCACATCGGGTGGTGTCGGCAGGCGACGGAGGAAGACACCACCAGGGAGGGGATGGCGGCGCCACCACCAGGAGGGCCACCACCACCGGGAAGGAGACACGACCATCTCCTGTTCTTGTGGTGGTGCCCCCTCCAGCGTGGGCAGGAAAGGCGACACCACCACCACCGCCACCACCACCACCAGGGTCAACGATACCTCTCCGGGCTGGGGATAGGTCGGGGATGTCTCGAGCGAGGGGGGGGTCACACCACTAGGAGGGCCATCCCTGGCACATCGCACTGGTGGTGGCGGCGTCAAAGGGGGTGGGGGGGCGAGGATTGCAAGAAAGTGGATCTAAAGCCTAAAGGGATCCTGGACGTCCTCAGAACTGCCACCGCGTGCCCAAATCGTGCTGGAAAGGCGCACGCGTCGTCGCCCCCCTTTTAAAAGGGAATGTCGGAGTGTATTCCCGAAGCAGACAACTCGGCCTCCACCTAAGCTTCCGGAGGTCCGCGAGGAAACCTTGGATCGGAGCCGAAGCCCCTTGACGGCGCCTTCGCGCGCCAGGGAGGGCGGTCCAGCGCAGATCCAAGAAATCCTTGAGGATTTTCGAAAGCGTCTTTTGGTGCGGGGTGTGCTTGTCCTGTGGATTGATGGAGGGGGGCTTCAGATGTGTCTCTCCAAACAGGCTTGCCTGGGAACTCATAGCTCGTTGCTCCAGCCAACGACCCCTCCATCCGTAGTCCTACCATGCATGTTGGATACGAAACTGCGTAACTTGGCCAGTTTCTGACCAAGAGTTTCCTGGAGTGCAGTTCGACATTGCGTTTTTGCAGAATGCAATGTCGTCTGTGTGGTACAGTTTTAGGCTCGTGATCACTATCTTGTAGGCTGGGTATCCTGGTTGCTTGTCGTCCTTGGCTGACATTCTTTCGCAATGCGATCAATACCAGCATGGTCGTGGGGTAATGACTGCTGCTCCCTTTGTGACTCTCAGTGTGCCGTTTGACAGATTCGTGTGGGATATTGGCTGATACGTTGACTTGTACGATGCGGGTGCAGTATTTCTGGGTTGGTCGCGGTGTCCGATGTTGCAACCTCGCTTGGCTGATGATTTTCATGGTACGAGGGCCGTGTACCCTCTGCTTCAGTTGTGGCGACCAGTGCCCAGGTACCCTCGCCCGGAAGTCACCAGGAACGCCCACTGGCAATTGCAAGGCTCCTATTCGTACGCTGTCTTGATGGTCCAGGGTGAACCTGTCGGCCCTCCTCGTCTTCCTCACTCGCCCCGAATTGCTAAACCTCCTCGCTCGCTCCTCTTGCTCGCTGAAGGGGGGGCGACGCGAAGGTGGGGGGGCGGCCTTCTGAGAAGGAGCCCCGCCTCGCAGAAGGCCTGCCGCCTTTTGAGAAGCGTCTTCCAAAGCTTCTCACATCTGCCTCGAGATCCCCCCTGGCCTTCCTCCGCAGGCCGCTCCCCCCGAGGCGTCCCCGTCTGGTGCACCGCCATCTGGTAACTCTCTGCTTCCCAGCGCGGCCCCGTCCAGGCCCGGCAAGGGGAAGTCGCAGAAGGACGGCGCCGACGCGGGCAAGCAGATGAACTGGGTGCCGCCTGCTGCCTTCGCTCTCACGGCCGCCCACCTGCGGGATCCTGGAAACATGTTGGGCGTTCCAAAAGCGGCCTTGCCTGCGAGGATCGAACGAGTTGTCATCTCTTCCGCGGCGGAAGGGCGGCGAAAGTAAAACGAGGCCGCCTCCACCGGCGGAAGCTGGCGGAAGTTCGGCGGAAGGCGGCGGCAGTGGAAGATGCACCCCCAAGAGGTGAAAACGTGTTTGGGTTCAGGGTTTCCGAAATCGCTTATGCAGGTCGCCCCAGATCTCGAGCGTCCTGATTGCTTCGATCCTGGTGGTTTAGCATCAAGGGGCAGTGCTCGGGACCCCGGACCGTCAAAGAGCTACCCGCGGTCGAAAGCTGTCCCGGGAAGGTGTCGGGTGTTCCCGGGCCGCGGGCGAAGGTCTGGCTTCGACGCGAGGGAGTGGGACGCATTTCGATGTCGGCGGGGGTTCCGGACTCAGTCGGCCCTTCCTCTGATTATTCCTGGGGCGCTCCCAACAAGCCTGGACAGCACTGGGGCGTCAAACGGGCTTAGCCCCTCCTGTCCTCTGGCTCCGCAGCCCCCCTGCAGTTTGTCCGGGCTCAGGTTCGGGCGCCTTCCACTCGCGCCGAGGGGGCCGACGGAGGAGGAGCATGAGGAGGGCGGCGACATGAGGAGGAGGAGGATGAGGAGGAGGAGGAGGAGGAGGAGGAGGAGGAGGAGGAGGAGGAGGAGGAGGAGGAAGGGCTCCAGTCCGCGTGCCGCTCTGGGGGGGGAAGCCCGCCTCCTCAGAGAGGCGGCGGGGGAGTACGATTGGCCGCATCCGTAGCCCCGTTTTGGCCCCAGGCTGGCGCTCCGCGCGCGCGCGCGAGCAGGCAGGCGGGACCGCCCGCTCTGCAGCCCGCGGGCGCGGGCTGGGCCGCCTCGCTGCGGCCTCGGCGGTGCGGCCCGCGGCCATGGTGTCCCTCCCGGCGGCGAGCGAGGGGGGGGGAGGAGAAAAGCAGAAGCTCGGGATCTAAGAAGAAGACGTGAGCGTTTGCCGCTCCGCGCTTGCCGCTCCGCGCGGATCTCTTGGATCCGCGCTGGGGGGCCTGGCGGCGCCACCGGCGCCGCCCCTGGCGCGCTCCGCGCGCCACGGAGGGGGGTCCAGCGCAGATCCAAGAAATCTGCGCGGAGCGCCAAAAGTTTGTGTTTTATGCCGTTTGTCCTTCTCTACATAAGGCGGCGGGACTCCTCGGATGCCCTCGCGCCTTCTGAGAGGTCCTCTGTGCCTTCGGGGAGGGCTCGTAAGATTTCTCAGAGGGCCGGGGGACTTCCGAGTCTTCCGAGCAGGCCCGCCCCTTCTCGTTTCCCCCCTTCGCTCGCCGCCAACCCTCACTGCACCCCGCATCGCGGGCCACCATCGGACGTGGCCAGGACGAGGATCCGTTCCAGCGCGTTCCCGTAACGCTCTCAGGGCGCTCCAGGAGGCTCTGAGAAGGCCGCGGCGCCCGAGACACCTCCCAGAGCCGCTGGATCTCAGAGAATTTCGATTCACCCCCACGCGAACCCAGGCCCCCGACGTCATGATTTTGTCGCAACGTCGACCCCGGGAGGTCTCCAAGGGCTCCCACGAGGGCGCGAAAATATTCGCGCTTCGCGCTTTGCGGTCCTCGTTCCTTGCCCCCCTCCTCCGTGTCCTCCTGTTCTCCCTCTGGGGGGCGGCGCGAGAGCGCGAAGTCATTCGCGCTTCGCGGAGCGCGAAGCGCGAAGTTCGGATCCCTTGGGTCTTGACCCCTTCCCGCGGGGACCGGTCCTTCCTCCCGCGCGAGTCGCTTTTATGGACGGCCACCTCCAGGGGCCAGGCGAGGGCCCCCGCGGGAGGCCGAAACCATGGCGAAAAGCCTCCCGCCGTGCTTGTTTTTGTTTCCCCGCGCGAGGGGGTCTTCGGTTCCTTGAGAGCTCCGACGTGCCCAGACCTCCAACGCATTGACAAAATCAAGGCGGAGGTTGTTTCCGATTTTCGGCCTCTACAGGGGCCCTCGCCGGGCCCTGGGACTGTCAAAAAACAGTCCTGGGGAATGGGTCGAGACTTCGGGGGACCGCGCACTGAAAAAAACACGACGTCGGATCTCTGGGTATAGCGCGAAAAGTGCAGCACCGCAAAAAAAAGCCACGCCCGGAGCCCGAGGCCGCACCTTCCTTCCTGCGTCCTCTGGTCGAGCCGCATCGGTCTGCGAGGGCCTGCAGGGCCCGACGGGAACAGGCGAACACGCCTTGGCAGGGCTTACTTACGTACCCTCACCCGAGCTGCTCCTCGTCCTCGCTTCGTCCCGCGCCCCTGCGCGCCCCTCGCCCGGGCCGCGGCCGGGGCAGCCCCGGAGGCTCGGGCCGAACGAAAGGGGGGGCTATACTGGGGAGAGGGGGAGTTACGAAATCTACTGCATGCAGCCGGTTTCAGCCCCGCCGCCGGGCCCATTCCTCGATACATCTGGCGCCTCCTGGCGCCGGGAGGCGCCAGGAAAATCAGCTGCGTGAGCTGATTCTCAACCCCCCTCTTTCTTTCTTTGCGACAGCCCAAGAAGCCTCAGACTTCGGCTGTTTCTGCACTCTTGTTGCAAGAAGGGCAGCAGCCTCCCGGGAAGCCTCATCTAATGCTGTTGCTTCTGCGCCGAATACGGTCATAGGTCAGTCTAGAAATGTGCCATGTGCTGTCCACGGCTCGTAGTAATACTTGCTGTCGCCGTCCTCGCTGTCGCCTTTTGCTATCTTCCCCAGTTCGCCCGGCCCGAGAGGCGCGGCCGCGAGGCCGCCCGGGCGGGGCCCCCGCCGCCCGCGGGCGCCTGGGCGCCGCCTGGCTGTGCGCACTCGCGCCGCCGCTCGCCGCCGCCGCCGCGGGGAGGGCGCGCGGAGTCGTCGAGGATGGGCCGGTTTTCCAGTGCCCCGGCCAGAGGGAGGAGGGGCAGGAGGGAGGAGGAGGAGGAGGAGGAGGAGGAGGAGGAGGAGGAGGAGGAGGAGGAGGAGGAGGGGGAGGAGAAGAGGAGGAGGAGAAAGGAGGAGCAAGAGGAGGAGGAGGAGGAGGAGGAGGAGGAGAAGGAGGAGGAGGAGGAGGAGAGAGGAGGAGGAGGAGGAGGAGGAGGAGGAGGAGGAGGAAGCAGAAGCAGAAGCAGAAGAAGCCGAGGACGCAGAAGACGCATAATACTAATAATCATGAAATTAATACATAGAAGAAGAAGAAGAAGAAGAGGAGGAGGAGGAGGAGGATGAGGAGGACGACGACCTCCCCATCCTCCCTTTCTCCCGTCCTGCAGAATATGGTAGTGGTGGTGGAAAAGTGGCCCATCGATCGAGGATAAAAGAAACCCTAGCCCTGATAACACAGTTTCCAGACATCGGGCGTCTCGAAGAAATCGATCGAGGCGGAGGTTTCTCGTGGTTGTTGGCCCCTCGCCGGGCCTCGGGCCCGTCAAGAAACTACTCGGGATGAGGCACCGGTCTCCGTGTCTCGAAAGAATCGAGACGTCGTGCGTGTGTCTGTGTGTGTGTGTGATCTTCTGTTGTCGAGCCGGGCGTGTTCGTCTGTTCTCGGGCCCCCCGGGGCCCGCACGGACCGGCGCGGCTCGGAGGATGAGGCAGAAGGATGGGGCCCGAGGCTCCGGACGCGATTTCTACGGTGTCGCAGTGTTCTGTTGCCGCGTCAGATCGCAGGGGGAGTCGACCAGACGTGAGAGCGACCCTTCGCCAGAGCGACCTCTGGTGCGGGCTCCCCGGGGTGACCCGACCGCGGGGCGCGAAGCGGCAGCAGCGGCTGGGAGTGTAGCGGCTTGCGCGCCCAGGTTTGGCCGCCCCGCGTCCCCCGTGAAGCCGCGCACGAAAGGTCCATTTTGCCAAGGGTCCCTCTTCGCGTATACAGTCGACTCGCACGGTGAGGATGGGCATCCTTCCCAAGGGTAGTTACCCTTGCATACGTGCCCCTTCGGCACATCCTTGGCCACTCTCGCTGGCCGCGCTCCGCTCGCAGAGCGCCGACATGCCCTTCCAGGGCCCTTCAATGCTTACCGCGCATCCTTATGGTACGGGCCGACCGTGTGTGAGCGACGCAAAAAATGGGGTCGTCTGCGCCGACACTTGCGCGCAAGCTGTCCGCGCAAGGTCTCGCGTGAGCGCCCTCGCTTCGGTGTGGCGTGCCGCGCGGGCGGCCCGCGCAAGCCACCGCGCAAGGCCGCCCTGCCCTCTCGCGTAAGACCCCCGTCTTCGATCGTCGCTCATGCGTGCTCCTGCCTTGAGGGCGCACACGCCGCGGATCCCGGGCCCAGGGTTATGATGTTCCAGCCTACTTGAGCCTTGATCGCTAGACAGGATTTCGAGCACCAAGGAAGTACCGACACTGGAGGGTTCCACGTGTCGGGCCCCGGGAGGCGAGACGCGTTCGACACTGTTTCGTGACCTTTCTGGGTGATCGAGATAGATTATTTCTTGGATGCGGTCCTGAAGCACGATGTCAACGACATGAGCCCAGGGTGGCCTTGGCCAGGCTCGGCCTAGGCGTCTCTGCGTCGTGGTGCCCCCCCGTCCAGGCGCGGCGGGCCCGGCGCCGCGCGGCGCCCCTCCGCGCCGCAGCGGCGGCCCCCGCGGCCCCCGCGCAGCCAGGCGGCCCGCGGGACCGGCGCGGGGCGCTGGCGTCCGCGGCGGCGGCCCTGGGCCTGGCGGCCGCCGCGCCGGCGCCGCCGCTCCGGGCGGAAGGCCTCCCCGGGGCCGGGGCGGCCCCGAAGATGAGCGTCACGAGGTCGGCCATCAGAAGGAATATACACCCAGG